TTAAGGACCCTTTTTGCTACCAGAGTGCTCTTAGACTGAACAAGAGCCAGGGCTCATTGTTTCCAGCTTTTGGCATTCCTTACCTTGAACTTTCAAAATCCATCAGGACTGGAGGGTTCTCCCCCCTCTCCTTAAATTTTCATTTTACAAAACACTCATCAGTTTGCCATTCCAGCTCTTAAAATGAACTGTATTACACTTAACACTGCTGAGTGCTTTGAATAGTATAGAAACAGGGAGTTAAATAGTATAGGAATGCTCCACCTCTGAGGTTTGCCCTGTGTAAGAACTGGATACCTGGGTTCAAAACCTGTGAGAAGCTGGGTCATTTTTTATTTGTCTCTAGCTGCCAATTAGCAATGTTCATTAATCCACTGCCTAGGAGAAGTGCATGATTAAAATAGACAGTGTCACTGACCACTGACAAGACAATATGCAGAAGGCTGTGCTGTAGCTGCCTGTCATTGTGCTGCTGTAGTTAGAGCTCGGTCTCATTTTCCAGGGGGAAGTAAGAATTTCTTAGTTTCTTTACATCCTGGTGTAAAGACAGACACATCATCCAGGCTTTGAACATTGCATTGCTTTGTGCCCTGGGCAGGGAGCCTGCAGCAGACCCTGGGATTGCTTGTGCACCACCTGCCAGCCGCTATCAGACAAGTTTGGTTAGAGAACACGTTGTGTCCACAGTCACTGCAAATGTCCTTCGCAGTGTTCGCCCACAGAGTCATCCAAGGCTCCTTGGGGGCGGCAGATTTGAATTTTGCCTCCTCAAGGATGAGTATCTGAAGCTGGGCCAAAGCTTTGTTTCCTGCTGGTGAGAAAAGAGGGAATGGGGAAGGAGGCGTGGGAGGGCTTGAGGGGTCAGGATTGATGTGCTGCTCCCGGGGCAGCAGGAAGGGGCTGGTGGTGCATGGCTGCTGCCAGGAAAGGCTAACCTCTAGCTCGAGACCACAAACCCTTGGTGGCAGTGGCCAGCTTGGTCTTCCAAGGCCACAGATAAAATAAGCAATGACCTAGGACAGCAGACAGTGGAGGAGACAGAGGGGCACAGTCCTGCTGCCTGCTCCCTGGTGTGTTGGACAGAAGAAATTTTGTTCTGTAGTGGGAATTGCACTCTTGTTTGCTTGCTTAAGAAAAAGATGACCAGTGCTTTAATTTACACTCCACCTGGGGATCAAATCTCTCAGTAAGACCAAGGGGTTCTTTTCCCCCAGGTCTCACTTTTGAGGGAAGGAAATTTCCATGACAGAGGATGAAATACTAGGAGTACTTTTCTTAGGTGGATCTTCCAGCTTCTGGTTTGTAGCCACACTAATTTGTGGGTGAAGGAAATATTTTGGTACTGAAAACTTGCCAAAAAGCTGTTTAACAGGGAATTGCAGTTTAATTAGCACTTATGAGACATTAAGAATAATTGTATTCAATTTGGCCACTCAGGATAAGGTGTGATTCAGGATCAGCTGGTTGGTACTCTGAAAAAAAAAGAAAAAGGAAAAAGAAAGAAATATTACTCTGTGGACTGGTGAATATGTGCCATTAACTGGGAAAAAGTGGAAGAAACTTGTATTAACTGGAGAGAAATGGTTTGACTTCGTTATTTTGTAGTGAGCCGGTTTACAGTTTATCCCTGCTATCTCCTTCTCTGTGATTTTTTTTTTTATTTAGGAAATGTGCCAAAAACTTAAAAAAAATCCATTTACTTATTTATGCTTTGCACAGGAATGAGAAAGCCTACCACTTTTAGCAAGCATGTGAACTAGAAAGGCAAGGGAACACAGGGTGAAGTTTTATGTGGAGGCTTGTGTGTAAGGAAGGGTAGCCATCAACATCCCTTGAATATTTCTTTTTTCTTCACAGCAGAGTTCATTGTGCTCCCTGAGTGCCGTAGGTGAAAACAAAGACAGTGCCACTACTAAATGAGCGCAGTTTCAAAGGCTGGCTGAGAAAAGAGAAAACAAACTATATGCAATTTAAATGCCTGTTTGTATGCAAGCTACCACACGGGCTAATACACACACCAGTGTGATGTAAGGCAGTGGAGATGACCTGATTAGCAAAGCCCTTGCAACGAGCTGAGGAGATCCTCGCTGCACCAGTGCTCCCTCCTTGGGGACCTGCGACTACTCCCAGCCGAAGGAAACCTTTCCCCAGCTGCCAGGGGCGTTCTGAAAATGGCAGTGGCAGTGCTCCGTGTGTGCCCGGAGGTGAGGGAAGTAGGAAGAGCAAAGAGCCAGCACAGCCCCGTAGAACAGCTGGGATGTTGTGAAGGATGCAGCAGGAATTGCTTGGGCTTTGTGAGCTCGGTTTGCAGGAGTTGCGGAGCGCTGTGTGTTTGGGAGGCTGTGCTTCAGCAAACGGCTCGCACCGTTTGGTTGTGCTGTTCATCCTGTTGCTTGAAAGCTGTCATTCAGTGCTAGGGCAAGATAAAGTAAGTGGTCTTCCCGTTTGAAGGCTCTTGCAGCCTTGTTCTCATGTGTGCCGAGCAGGCAGAGGTCCACAGCTGTGAATGGGAAGTCGTGGTGCTCAGCACTAACTGCAGTCAAGTGTTAATTATTCCAAGTCAGAGAAATAGAGACAGAACTCTATATATGTAAGAAGACACGTAAGATCCAAGACTTTCTCTCTCTCCTGTGAGTACATATAAATATACACAACTGGTATCTGGGTTTTGGTTATTTTGTGCATTCCTGTGCCAGGAGAGTGTGCAAACTTGTGGCAGTGACCCGGGGTTTTGGGTGAGGAGCACAGGGCACTATTTCTGGCTCTGCTGTAGCTACTTGTGTGGCCGAGTGTATTAAGTCCTGCTCCTGAAGCCAGCAAACCATTTATCCGGGCTTCATTCTCAGACTTGCTGAATACCCCAAAAGGCTGCTATTATTGGAGAGAACTGCCATTCCTTAGCTCTCAAAGTGGGCTTTCCATAAATCAGCAGCACGGGCTTTCCATGGGGAGGTGGGTCTAGGACCTCGGCTTTCTCCCTGCCAGCCCACAGAGCTGCCCGAGCTCCTTCCCCTCTGCTCTTCCTCCCTTCTGCTCAGCTCTTCCGCCAAAGGTAGATCCTCCTGGTCAGGAGGCTGTTGCTGTGCCAGCCACCATACCTTGGGCTCGCCACCAGCATGGGATGGCTTCCTGTCGCTTCTCCAGCTGCCATGGTGGGACAGGCCCCCTCGTGCTCCCCATGGATACAGGCTCCTCTTGACCTCTTTCTGCCCCTGGCCGCCAAATGGGGCCAGGTCATGGTTGTTCTCTCAGTCTAGGCTGCTTTTTCCTTTTTTTAAAACAATAAATGCATCTTTGTGGTGACAAAAATATTAATTATCTCCTATAAACGATGCACTCAAATATTTCATTGTTGCGGACTGTTTGGATGGCGGTGCCTGTGCTGACACAAGTCTGCTGTGATGTGATCCAGCAGTGTCCTTGCTGTGGATGGGCTTTGCCGTAATAGTACTTTCATTCCTTAGCTCCCATTAGTGCCTTGATGAATAGTGGAAGATGTTTCAACAATTTTTTATGATTAAAAAGCAGCATCTTACCGTTGCTTGGTCTCTGGTGCCTTTACCCTGTTCATTATGCTTTGCCTGGGAGTAACAACAGTGATTTAGAGTTGCAACATCAACATCAGTCTCTGAACCTTGTGTTTTCTGGTAAGGGGAAGAGAGAGGATGAAGGAGGAAGTCTAAGTAGTAGGGTTTTTTCTTCTGACATTTCCAGACTGGCTGCTTGAAACTGTGATGCCTCACAGTGATTAGACACATTTATCATAACTCTGACATTGAGTTCCTGGACAAGAACCCCCTGACAGCTGCTCTGGAGCACACCTGGACAGGGTTTGGAGACACCAGCCAGGCCCAGGGCACTCATTTGTGCTCCAGGTCCACTGCTGTCACTGGCACTCGTGCTAATGGCCTTAGTACAGAGGTCAAAGACTGCTTAGATATGAAGGCTGAATCACCTCCTTGTTAAACCCCTCAGCAGGATCAAGGCTTAGGGAAGCAAACACGTGGGCTTGCCTTCTGGCTGACACTGTGGATGGAGGCTGTGACTCTGAGATGGACCTTTTGGCAGGTTTGACCAACCATTGAGGCGTCAAAATGGGGGTGTCTGGTGATTAAAACACCCCTGCACTGACACCCCTCTGTGAAAAAGCCTGGTATGTTCATTTCCTTTAAAGACTTGCTGATCCCACAAGCTCTTGGTGGTTAGAGGAGGTTTATCCTGTCACCTGAGGATCACAGAAATCAGCAGCGAGCCCGTCAATCTTACCAGGCAGATGTGAAAGATCTTCAGCTGCACGCATTTCACTTGCACATATAAATAATCCAGCAGTGTAGGTCTCGCTGCAGCCCTGTTTGCCTTGGCAGTGTCCCATTGACGTGAATCAGAAGGTGGGAGCAAAAAGCACTGGAGGCTCATCCAGAGCCTGGTCTCCCCTCCATCAGGGAACCTGTCCATGCAGGCAGGGTGGTTTGGAGATTACTGGCACAGCCCACAGGCCTGACTTTGCTGGGTCCCTGCATTTTGAACAATCCTGCCTTGTTTCTTCACCTTGTGCCTTTGGGAACCTGCCTCTTGGGGCACTGGGCAGGAGTGACCTGGAGGGAGCAGCTGTGGCTATGTCCTTTGCTCCTGTGGCTTCGCTTCCTTGAGAGGAAGGGAACTCCTGTGTTTCAAGCTGAGAAGCAGGAGGTCAGTTCTTAAGCCTGCTGCATCTCTGCAACTTTTGGTAGGTCTCTGGATCACGCCATGCCTGAGTTTCTAAGCTGTAAAATAGGGATAGCAATGAGGAATTTTTTAACAAAAATAAGGGCTTGAATAAATAAACAGCTGTAACTTGTGATGCTGTCACCACCACAAGGCTCTCATGTTGGTTTGAGTTTCAAGGCTTTCATTTAATACTGATAACAGTAAAAAAGTTTGGTATGATATTAGTGATTGGAAACTTAGAAAGTGTTTTTAATTTTAACATGTTTTTAATTTTTTTTTTTTTTTTATTTCAGCAAATTCAGTAAAGCTAGAAATGCAAAGTGATGACGAATATGACAGGAAGCCCCTGAGTCATGAAGATGAGATCAGAGCTCACGATGAAGGAAGCAGCCTGGAAGAGCCCTTCATCGACAATAACGAGATGGTGGATAACAGAAAGATCCAGGAGCTATCAAGCGAGGGAGGAATCCGGCTTCCGAATGGTAAACTGAAATGTGACGTCTGTGGCATGGTTTGCATTGGGCCCAATGTGCTAATGGTACATAAAAGGAGCCACACTGGTAAGCAGCTGAAAGAAAACCTGATGACTGCCTGTGGCGTCTGATGTTGATGTTACCTGACAACTCTTCTTCTTCCCTTTTCATTCTTGGGGTTCCAGGAGGCTGGGGGGTGGGAAATGGGCTTCATTGGTTTTGTTCTCTTCCTGCTCCCCAAATTCTGGTGATGTTCTGTTTCTGGCAAGCATGGTGCTTCCTTGACTTTGATTTCCAGCCTTTTGTTCTTAAAAGCAGCACTAAAGTCTGGAAATTGCTTTTCTTATCGTTCTTGACCGGGGGCAAGATGGTGAGAGTCATTCTGTGGCATGGAAGGGGTGTGTATGTGTGCATGTGTGTGTGCATGTGCAAGACTTTTGAGCCTTTAAGGTGAGTCTTAGATGACCTTCCCTTGGAGGTGCTCACGAGTGGGCAAGGCCAACAGCTTCCTGGGGATCTCCCACCTCCTTTGGTGGCTGGGCCTGGGATTAGCAAAGCCCACCGGGGGCACTCATTACTCACCTGTCCTGTTGCCAGGGTGGACTTGCTGCTCATTGTGTGACAACTCCATCAGGGAAACCTCACCTGAACCCCTCCTGGGCTCCCCCACACCAGCCAGATACCATTCCGGGGGCAGCTTTCAACGCTCGCTCTCTCCCAGCATTTGTATTTTTATTACCATTAGTATTACTACTGTTTGGAGACCAAAACAGCTGACCAGACTTGGGGGTATGAGTTCAAGAGGTGGATGGAACCTTTGCAATGTGCTGATTGAGTGGTCTTTATGGCTTGAAAGATGAAACCTTGAGCTTCAGGGAGTTTTTGGGAGTTATGGCTAATATGATAAAATGGGATGCCCAAGAGGCTGGTAGTCTCTCCCCTCTGCTGAGGAGTGACCTCAGGTGGAAATGACAGTCACCTCCAACAGAAGTACAGGTGGTGCCAGAAGACGATGCTCTCTGATAGTGCCTTGGATTCAAAAAAGCACTTAAGCTTGTGCTTAACTTTTATGAGATTTAAGCACATGTAAGTCACCTGAACTGCTTCAATATAAGCTTAACTTAAGATACACACTTAAATCTTATTAAGTTTAAGCACAGGTTTTTGTGGTGGAGCCTCAGTGGGTGTTTGTTCTTCATATTCTTTGGACAAACTGAAAGATGCTTTGCTTTTTATCTTTGTCTGCTATTATTTAATGGGGTCAGAGACTCACACTGACTGAGACATCTGCAAAGATATAAAAAGGGGGGGGTTAAGGTAGAGAAAGAAAGACTTTGAGTAATTCCTTTTTAAACCTGGTAGATTGCAGTCAAGGCTGCTCTTGATGTGCAAGAAATCAATAGAATTTCTGTACAGAGAATTAATAAATATATATTCTACAGTTAATGCCCTGTATATAAGTTGTATTGATAATAACTTAACATAAGTGTATAATGCAAAGCATGGCAATACCATTTATGATGCAGTCCTGATTTTAGACAGGAGTTACGAGAGGGGAAAAGCATTAGCCAGAGAACCAAAACCTTAATTAACAATTTGACGTGCTATTGCTAGGAAATGGAAAGGGAAACGAGAACATAACAGGCTGAGTCCCCAGCTTTCAACCTCCCGAAAAGTTTCCGCTGGCGCTTGCACATATCGGAGCATATGTATTGTAGGTGCATCAGAGTCCACGTATTTGAACTGCAGCAGCTAAACTAGCCCTGCCAAATTTAGATTTAGGTACCTAATTAAATGGTCTGCGTTTTTTGAAATACTGAATAGCTAGTGACAAGCTGCCCTTTTCATGGTAAAGAAGACATGTAAATTCCAGGTGAATGGAACAAAATCTCATCTGCGTGAGGGCGAGAGGCCGTATGGGGGTGCATGGGCAGGAATTGCATAACTCGTAGCTTTTTCCTTGGGGCTACTGCTGGTTCCTTGTAGAGCTCTGACTCTTTTCCCATCAGAATGGGATGTACTGTTCTATACAGATGATTTCAAGCATATAGGAATGGCATTTCTTTTAATGTGCAGCTCAGTGCTCTGCTCTCAGTAAACCGGTTGGCAAATTTTGCAGGGGATTTTTTTTCCCTCCACTTTGTTTGTTTTTTAATGCGTACTGCTGCTTCACTGTCCACAACAGAAGGAGAAGTTTTCTTGGATTTCCACATCCTTGATTTTAAGGAGTATTTTTAACACACTGGTATATATCTTTTAAAGTGCAGTATTTTAAAATATATTGCCACTTCCTCGGCAGCTGGGCTGGCCCTGGCTCTGGAATGAGCCCTGACCTGTGGGAAGGCTGGTTTTGCAGCCCAAGGGAGAACGGTGGAGGGAAGGGAGGTTGTCCCCAGTGAGTGGAAACGGATGACATTCTTCATCAGCTAATGCAACTGGCATGTGCATCCTTGCCTCTCAAAGCCAAGTTAAGTATGTTTTGGGAACCGAGTCCTGCCTTACTCTCCTCTTTATTTGCACACAATCAAAGCATGGTCTGGCCAGTTGTTTGCATTGGCAAAAACTGAAGTCCTTTTCCCTTCCCCGAAAACCTGTCAGCATTCTATGTAAATCACCCAAAATCCTGTGGTCCATAGCGGAGGCTGTAATTTGTGTGTGTGCTGGGATGAGTGTGGCTTTCCTTGCACCAGGGATCCAGGCTTGGCAAGAAGCTGTGCCATATGGCTCTGGCTGCACTGTGCACATAAAGGGACACACTTTCCTCTAGCCAATGCTCATCTGTTCTTGAAGAGCAGTTGTCTTCCCTGCCACATTATGGTAGTTCAGTCAAACAGACATAGGGGTGGGGAAAATAATCTGTGCCATGGATGAGACCAGAGTAGAAGAGCTCAGTGTCCCATCTCTGATCGTCATGTGCTGTTGCCCCTTCCTGTGATATAGACCCAGCTGGGAATTTCCCATTTATCCTGCCTCGTGCACATGGTGCAAGCGATGCTCTGGTGCACGGCACTTCTGTCATGAAGCCCGTGGCACTGCTCGTCTGCTTCTGCCAAACACAACATTTCTCTGAAAAACTGATAATAGAGGTGAAGAGTTTTTATTATCTTCATGGGCATCAGGAGAACACCTCTCTATTTATTTATCATTACTGACAGAAAATAAATAAAATGCTCCGTGTGGGAATTAAGCATTATGCACTCCCTGTGTTAGTGAGCAGGGTAACCCCCTGCCTCACATACCATGTCCTTGTATCAGACAAATAGCACGTGTCAGATTTGGTTTATTTTCCTCCTTTCCCATGCTATGTTCTTTTTGGTCCAAATTTCATATTCCACAGTACATTCCCCAAGTTGCAGCATCTTTAGCAGAGTTTTATGTTACAGGAGGTGGCTGGTCACATAGTGTTGCCACTGGATACTCCAAGGGTTTTTGCTTAGGGATGTAGATGGAAAGGCAGAAGAAGATAAGGTCAATAATCCTAATTTTCTGAGGTAACAAAAAGGAATTTTAGTGATTTCTCACCTTTTTATGCTGTCTGCTAGTGGGCCAGAATTGAAATTTCCTTGCTGCTCATTTTTGGTAAAGCAAAAACCATTTGCTCGTACAGCTATGCTGCTGCCTCTGTGATCTGCAAGGTCCACACAGTGTTCTCCCCTGCGCTGTGAATTTTGATCTTTCTTTATACTTCTTTTTCTCCACTGTAGTATTCAGTCCTTTATCTAACCCACTGCTGGATTTTGAAATACTTTTTATTTTTAGGGGAGGGCTGGGATCACAGAATCACGGAATGGTTTGGGTTGGAAGGACATTAAGCTCATCTCGTTCCAACCCCCTGCCATGGGCAGGGACACCTTCCACTAGACCAGGTTGCTCCAAGCCCCATCCAGCCTGGCCTTGAACATTTCCAGGGATGAGACATAGACAACTTCTCATCCTCATTGTTTTAAAAACACGCAGAAGTGAAACATTTCCTGTGTGTGGATGCAGCGGGTAAGCGGCAGAGTAAAGCCGGGTCCCTGGATACCTGGCACGGCACAAAGCCAGCAGGGATGTCAGCCTTGCCCCACCCTCACCTTGGGCTGCTGGTAGGTTATTTTTAGGCTTTCTTTGGGGGTGTTAACTGCAGGAGGGTCTGAAATCTTTGCTTGGACTCAACATGCACTTTTAGTGCCTAAGTCAGCTAAATGAGTTACATTATGTGCCCATGAGGGAAATCTTCAAGTTCTGTCGTAGCGTCCGCAGTGTTATAACTGAACATATGCAACCCTGGAAGTCTGAATGCAATTTGTTTTTTCATGCAGAGTTCAAGTTTGTGGGACACAATTAGTAAATGAGGAAAAACCCAGCTGTGTTGTTCCGTAGTACAGACTTGTATGCCTAAAGCAGCTAACCAGGAACAAATTTAAACAAATGGCCGTATTAACACATTGCAGTGAATTCCATTGGTCTGCCTCTCTTATTTTGTTCACAGAAAGGTTCTATTTGGTTTAATTTCTAATTTGTCACCTCGTGCAGGCTTCCTGTCTGTAGCAGCATGAATCGATTTGGCACTGAATCAAAAATCGTAGGGCTAAATTTCTGAAAGTCATATTTTCTGCTTAGGTTTTGAAATCTAACCTTTTGAAAAGCCTCATTTTCTACTTAAGCATAAGGAAGGGGAGCCGAGATTTTTGAAATCGCTCTCTGCAGAAGACCCTCTTTGCTTGCAGTACTCAGTAACTGAACTCTGCTGATATTTTTGCCAGTTCACTTAAAAGATTTTTCTGCTGTAAGAATGTGGTCATAAATTTGCACAGAGGACACTTGGAAATCACCCAGGATTTCCCAGGAATTTTTCATGAGAGATTTTGTCACTACTTTTTTATAATAAATTGCCCTATCTGGCAGCAGGTTTTTCCCAACAAAAAAACCCTACTAAAATCACTGATTTAAAGTGATGTGCAGCCTGTTAAGTGAATCAGGTAGAACAGTGAGTAGGTATGCAGGCTAGCTATGGTCCCTGGAATAACAAATACAGGACAGGAATGGGGCAAAGTCTGCTGCTCTGTGTCTCACTTGGGTAAAGGCAGGTTGGAACTCGCTGCTGTCAGTGTGTTGGGAGCACAGCTGATATTTCATTTGTGCTCCTGGGACAGAGCAGAATCAGAGCAGTTGCAGCATCTGATGGATCAGGAGAAATGTTTCGTTTTAAGTGAAATATTAACAAAAAGCATGCTACAGAAAGGTGAAAATCAATATTATTAGTAAGAGCAAATACTTTCTGATGGCAGCACAGGCACTGTAATTTTACGTTAAGAGACTGGAAAGAAAAAATCCTGCTTGAGAAGTACCTAAGCTACACTTTGCATATCAAAAGTCTGTGCCGCACAAAAAAGACTGAGATCTCAGATATACATTTAGCCAGGACAGATACTGAAGTCCCACTGGACCTGGTTTTTATGTAGGACTGCTGCTTTAGGAATAACTAGGCCTTGATGATAATGAGAACTAGTGCAGTAATTCGTGAGTCTCTCCGTTTAATTTCAAAGGGACAAAAGTTGCCAGTCAAGGGTTATGAAAATCTAAGTCTCCTTGGTTGCCAGGTCTATGGGCTCTGTGTCCTCAGTCAAATTTCTGTTTTGGTACAGAAAACATTGCTGCTTTGCACCGAAAATATCAGTGTTTTGCACTGGTCTGAGATTCGAAGAAGGGTAACTCATACCGAAACTTCTGCGCAGCACTTCCGCGCCGAGGCGGGAAAGGAGTTATTGTGCAGGGAAGCTTCCAATTAAGCAGAAAAAGGAGTTGGTTTGCTTTTTGAAATAACATTTGACATATGTGAAATCAATTAGTAGGAATTTAACAGTTCATTTGCCTGGTTTCAGGCCTTATCAGGCTCGTAGCTTGTGCTGTGGAGTCTCCCACCAGATGCCATATATTTAAGATACTATGAAAGGCCCACGTCTTGCTTGCCCTGACTTCATGGGTCCAATTCACCTTTCATCTCACAATTTGTTTACACAACAGCAAGTTAACCTATGTACTTTAGATACTGGTGTAGCTCAAGAGTAGTAATATTTCATTAATATTATTCATTATTATTTTTCCTGGAGGAGACAATGAACTGTGAAGTTTCAGGAATGTTTTCCTTAATTTGGAAGTAAATATTTGAAATCACAGCTTTTAATTAATATTTTGTTTAACTGTAAAATTATAAAACCCCATGGATGTATTTATTTATTAATGTAAATACTCCCTGGCACAACCCCCTCTTGCAAAGCCTTTAGGAAAGGTAATACTTGGCAGCTCTGGTTTACCTTGCCTAGCCCATTCCTGAAGTAACTTTAGATAATTAAATTCCCTGTGTTGGAGAGCAAGGCTTTTAAGGCATTCCTGGTTTTGTCCGGCTTTAGATTCTAAATCTGCAGTTGAAAAGAAACATCTTTTTTGTTTGGTTAACTGTTCCTCCCCCTCTCGCCACCCTGAAAGTCTTTTTTCCTGCCCCCCTCTCTCTTTTTTTCTTTTTTTTTTTTTTTTTTTTTAATCACTGAGGTTGGAGGCTTTTCTGCCCTGGTTTAGCTCAATAATAGAGAAATGTTTAATACTTAAAGGAGGCTAAAAATATTTTGCAGTTATGTTGCACTCACATAGTTTCTAGTGCTGCAAAGCAAAAAACTCGCTTAGTCACCTTTCAGTGGAGTTCTTATTTTAATAAATCTGTGTAAGTACATAGAGTCAAGCAGTAAATACATAGCTATAAATGGTGGGAAATGCACTGTGCTTATAATCGTCGTTACCCTCTTGTAGTCGTGTGTGCCACCTTTAATAGGTCTATATTTTCTAGTATGTCCCTGCTACCATCACCCTCAAAGACAGGAAAGCATTTTAAACGCAGTCAGGGACTGTCACATAGAGAAAAAATGTGCTTAGAGACTTTTTGTGAGTGGATGTTTAATTTGAAGTATGACTGATTTTAGCTTATAAAACCCTTTAGTTTTCACAGAAGAGTAAGGGAGGTGAGTAAGGACATCAGGGTTGTTATTTTGTAACTAGGAAGTAATAATACTGAAGAACAGCTTACAAAGTTACCAGGAAAAGGCAGCAGGAGAAATAATTGGAAGGCAGTCTTCTCAAGGCATTGAAGTGATAAAGAAGGCTTGTTTGTTAGTGTCTGGAGTGGGCATCAGACAGCACAGTTCTTGGAAAACCAACAAAATCTTCTTGCTATTCAGTCTTTGCTTCTCTTTGTGCACTCTTCTATTGGATAATGGCCTCTCAGATTAGCTGTGCTAAATGCAAAAGCTGCTAATCAATAGCACGAAGGTGTGACCAAAATTGCATCCCACAAGCCTACAGCTTAAACAAGGAGCTGGAATCGAATGATTGGACAAAAGTGTAACAAACAGATCAAAGCAGCTATTTACCCGGAATGAAGCCAGTAGGAAAAATGAATTCATGCTGGCTTTAAATAGATACAAAGGTTATTTAAGGTAAAATGTGCTGTTGGAGTCTCTTGTGAGAGAGGAGCAGACTATGGGTGATTTTGTGGTGAGTGTTTTCATGTCATCTTGGCCACTGAACTGTGTTGCAGTGACTATTGAATTCCAGACCGAAGGCTTTCAGCATCTCTTGAGCAGCCAGTTTATTGAGGAGTAATATGCACTCATATGGGGCCTCCAAAATGCCAGAGATAAGTGGGTGATGTAGCGGGTAAAACACAGTAACTGCATAGTTTTACATACAGCAGGAGTAAAAGACTTCAGACTTGATAAGAAACGTGCTACCTTCTTTCATGTTGTCATCCTGAAACTAAAGCTATCATTCCAGAATACTCAGAAACGTGTCAAAGGAAAGGGCTTTGCCTATTTTCTCAGACAGCGAAAGCAAAACAGAAAAGAAGAAAAAACCCATGTATTTTTCTACTGCAGTCTCTTTACATATCTCTGTTATGGACATTCTGAAGTGATATAAAAGAAGATAATGGCTAATCAGATCCTTTAAGTATAGTGTGGGAGTTTGAAAGGGAAACCACAAACTCTTTATCAATTCTAATGAGTTTGTGTTCAGTGTATTGGAAGAAGAGCTTTATACCGTGATTTTTTTTTATCATTACTCTGTAATGTTCTTGATGAGGTTGTAGGAACCTTGGTATCTTCTTGAGTGCTTCTTCAGTAGTCTCAGATATGATTTCCAGCTCCCACATGTGAAGTCAAGTTGCAGAGGTATGGCACATATGTGTCACACCTACCTTCTGCTGCCCACTTGGCAGTGATTTAAACCACTGAGGCAAGAATTGCTTGTGGACATCTGTAAAAGCACTTTTCCTTCCTCTCTTTCCATTTGAATCTCCAGACATATTTTGGACTTCACATTAGACACAAGGACTACTTTGATGAAAGCATTTTGTCCAGCAAGGGAGTAATCATTTTAAAGCAATAGAGAAAGGCTTTGAAGAGATGTGAAAGATCACAGAATGTGTTTGTTTTTCACAAGATCTGTGCTTCAGGCCACCGAATTCAACCTCAGAAGTCCCACCGGGATTCGACCAAGGCTCTGTAATAGGTGATGCGCTGAAAAAGTGGACAAGGTTGCTTACATCTGAAATCTGATGTTCAAGACCTTGTTGAAATGGGGCCCTGCTTGGTGTAAACATGCTTTAAATGGAAGAGAATAGATTTAAATTAGATATGAGGAAACAATCCTTCCCTGTGATGGTGGTGAGCCCCTGGCACAGGTTGCTCAGAGAAGCTACAGCTGCCCCATCCCTGGAAGTGTCCCAGACCAGCTTGGATGGGGCCCAGAGCAACCTGGTCTAGAGGAAGGTGTTCCTGCCCATGGCAGGGGGTTGGAATGAGATGATCTTTCAGGTCTTTTCCAACCCAAACCATTCAGTGATTCTGTGTTCTAAAGCCCAGCTGCAGTAAAGCACTTGGGCAAGTGGCAGCACAAGTATATGCTTGTATTCAATTGATTTGCTCAACAGGACATAAACAGATGATTAGAGCTGCCCAAAAATGCTGGAACAGTCTGAGTGTCCTCAACAAATGTTGACATAGAGTACAGTTTTAATAATATTTCACAAAACCTGTGTGAGTTTGTCAGGGGTTTTCCTCTAAAAAATAATTACCAAAAAAAAAAAAAGGTGTTTTTTGTCTGCCCAATCCCCACTGTCTAGAGCAAACATGAAGATTTAACATAAAAATAAGCTTTGGATGTGTGTGTGTGCGCATGTGTAAACACATGGGGTGAAGGGAGAGGGCAAGGTCTAGAGTTTCTGTTATTTTTTCATCAACTGAGTCTTTTTAATTTGTTTTATGTAGAGTGCAAACTTGCTCGTTTCACAGTTTAATGGTGAAAGATTTTTCTCGATGTTTGCTTCTGCCCAAAGCTTGAGGGCCTGATCCTCACTTGTATCGATTCCCTTCGTGCCACTCTAGCAGTGCAAAACAGCCTTTAGAAAGGACTTTCAATTAAAGTGTAATGCAAGCAAGAGCTTTGTTTTGAAGCAAAGACCTTAACACCTTCGCTAAGGTCCAATTGTTATGACCAGTTCCAAATACTCATATGGATTGGACCTATACTGAAAATAAGTGCAAACCCATAGAGATAAATACTACAAAATCACAATTACGGATCTAAATTTTCAGCAGAGCTCATCTTTTATAAAGGATAGAACCTCTGAGGTGAGGAACTTTCAAGAAAATCAACCTGCACTGATCACCTCAAATAAAGATCTTCAAATCCCTATTGGAGGTTTTGCCCATTGTGCAAAAGAAATGGCCTCTGACTGTAGCAAGTGCCGTGTGATGGTGGCAGTGGGGACTGTACCCATGTAAGAAGGCACTACTACAAAGAGCAGGATAATGGCCTCTGTGCATCCTCTGATGTGTCTTGACAGCTCTCTCCCTTCCCCTTCCCTTCCAGGTGAACGCCCCTTCCACTGTAACCAATGTGGAGCTTCTTTTACCCAGAAGGGGAACCTGCTGAGGCACATCAAGTTGCACTCTGGGGAGAAACCGTTCAAATGTCCCTTCTGCAGCTACGCCTGCCGGCGGAGGGACGCCCTCACAGGACACCTCAGGACGCACTCTGGTGAGCCCACCTTGGCTTCTCTTCCCAGTTCTTCCTTCCTTTGTCACTACCGTCCCAGTGAAGCAGGTAGTGAAAATAACCGTGTGTTCCTGGTGGCTCTGGGTCTGTACCATCCTCCTCAGATAGTGCAGCTCTCCACTTTGGGAAAGCCTTGATGTGAATCAGAAAAGTTGTGGTTCAGCCACACCTCTCCTTTTGTGTAACTGAGCTCCTCTGCTGATGCTATCACATTTCCCTCTGAATGTCTCCTTGGGTGTATCCAGGCTCCACTGGCAGATTGTTTTGACGCTCTAGGCCCCAAAGTGGCTGTGAAATTCCAAGGATCAGAAAGGATAACTGTGGGCTCTTGGAAGCCTGCTTTGCAGTTCATACCCATTTCTTCATCTAATAAATGCCATATGCTGGTGGAGGTCAAACTTGTTCATCTTTCAAAAATGTCTGAACTGCATTTTTGATTCAGTTACTTCTTGCTGTAGAGTCCTAATTCGTGGCAGCCGCAGCAGCCACCCTAGAGCAGAAGGTGGTCAAGAGAGATTCCATTTCTCTTGCCTCGTTCAGTGATAGTATCTTGTCTTTATCAAGTCTACTTGATACAGTTGCTTGATATGTTGCAGAGAAATATGCACCACATAACTGCACTCTGGTAGTCACGTTGGAGCTCCCATGATCAGGATCAGATGTGGTTTTAGTCCCTGTGCACCAAGGGGCTGCAGTCTGCCCACTTACTCATCTGTGTAGGACTCCTGAGTAAGATCTTAACTTGCTGCGCTTTTTATCTCCTAGAATGTTCAACTCATGTGTTCAGGCCATTTATAAGGGGCTGTGTTTTTCATTGTTGAATGAGCAGAGATAATTGAACTGGTTACAAGTGACAGCATTACAGATGAACTTCTTTGAGTTGTTAGCGAACGTGTGGCTGCTGAAACACAGTGGCTGAAGTGTAGCTGCAGGAAGAAATCCTGCATGAGCTTCCTGACTCTTCCTGTGTATTTCTCCTGCAGGGTCAACCTCACTTCATTAGAAGTTTCTGTTTTATGAGCATTAAGTTGGACTTAGGGTACAGAGTTGCCTTGGCATTTCCAAGAATAGGAAAGGATAAGCTAGTAAGCTTCTCCAGGTAAACTGGGGAGTATGCAGGAGGCTGTATTGGTGGAAAGTGCTTACAGAAAGCATGAGCATCCAAGGGAGTGCAGGTGTGGGAGAGAATTGCTTCACTTGTCAGCTGAGAGGATTTGATCTGGAAGTCAGAAGGGAAAATGTCTGTGGAAGTGTGAGGTGCAATTTTCACACATCTGACCATAATTGTAGTTTCAACTTGAAATTTAATAAAAACCAAAGCACGATAAAAATGTTCACAATGAAAATTAAAATGGAGTTGTGACAAGAAGTATCCCACATTACAAAAAGTAAACATTGCAGTTGAAGATTTTTTTCATCATATGAATATGGGTTTTGTTACCTAGATAGTGCCATTAATAGACATTGTTCTTCCTGTATGAAAAGCACATGGCTGATGGCTCTACTTTTTTGCGTGAGGATGAAATGTAGAGGTGTGGGATTTTCCGAAGGCACCTAAGCTGCTTAGCACATGAGTTCCGCTGGAGCTCCTTCCCTAAGTGACTTAGCTCGCTGACTTAGCTGTGTTCAGCACTGCTCAGTTTGTGATTTTATGCTTTGTTTTCCGTGGAGAAAGTGTCACCCCCTAAGCACTTAGCTACAGCAGCTTTCAGCAGAAGGCCAGCCGGAACAGACAAGTGTTCCCAAAATACTCTCCAGGAGTAGGGCTCACAGATGAAGAGTTAAAACTTGGATTATTACCCTAAAACCCAAATTCTACATGAAAGTGAAATGCCACTCTGGATGTGAGCATGGTGCCCTTCTGTCCCTGCCATGTAGACAAGCTGAGTTGGCTTATGCACACCTATGTGAGCCTGGATCATGGAAAAGATGCGTAGATGTTCCCTAGAGACTTAAAACAGTTTCATATCAGTATACTATAAGAGCACTCTCTGCTTTAATAAAGCACACATCAAGGTCTGTAAGTAGGCCTGGAAGGTACAGCAGATCTAGTAACTGCATCCAAGGTCTTTTCTAACCCAAATAATTCTATGATTCTGTCAATGTTTACATCTTCTGCTACTTCTGATCAGAAAAGGAGATATTGGATAAAGTATAGAAAGAAGAGGTTAAAAACTGTTTTGAAATATGAGACTTCAATCAGGTCTCGTTCTTAATGTCTAAATTGAGGTGTCTGAATATATTTTTATATTTGTAAGAGGAGAGCTGATCCTCAGCTGATATAGGCTGGAATTATATCCCCTAAGCAGGAAAGTACTTCTGTTCTGCACCAGTTGAGAATCTGGCATGTATCATCATAAATGCAAGACCAATTTCTTTTTTGTTATGTTGTACGTGTGTCCTTTTCCTCTTTAAATAGGAGAGTGCTCTTAATAAAAAAAAATAAAACAACTCCCTGAAAAACCAAACAAAAACCTCACCAAAGCAAAACTCTTTTCTCCTTCCCAAGAAGGTCTTAAACTACTGTGGAAGGCAAATTGTGCGAGAAAGGAATTGAAGAATTTTGTTAGATCCTCTTTTTTTCTCTCAGCTAGTTTGATTTGTGGATTTTAGAACATTTTGTGTCACCACTTAAGTCAGTGGCACCCTCTCACTACTGCCAGTGTAGTCAGTTTTTCCTCTTCTTAATGCAGAGTTTTCATATAGTACAACAGGAAAGGTGAAAAAATAAGGAAATGTAATTGCAAACAGAAGTTAGCAGAAGCATCTCTGAGATATCTCAAATAGCTGATACTACCTGTTAACTTTAAAAAAAAAGATAGCTTTTTTTGTTGTTGCTTTGGGTGAATGTTTTGTTCATACTTTTTAATATTAATTCCTATTTATTTGAAAATGTTTCTAAGCATCACAATCTATATTTTGCCTCCCCTTCTCGTGCAGAATAATATCTTACTGAGTAAGTGTTCCCAGGACAAGTGGTTAACAAAATATTGCTCTGTATCTGTAATGCTGCTGCTGTTTAACCCTAAATAATTAAGGACTTATCTTGCAGTGATTTACTCCTGCAATTATTTACCTTTTACAGACATATGGAGTTCTGATGAACTTTGTGTCTGTATTTTCCTCCCACATGCAGCTGCTTTGATTTCAGGAGTATAATGATGCCTTCAGGACATAGTAGGATAATGCCTGGGGAGAGATTCATGCACAGAATTACACTAAGAGTGGGCATGAGCCTCAAGGTACTTACAGGACTTTCAGATGTTGTTTTCAGAATTAACTCCATAGTTCCACAACACAGATAACAGAGGAGAGGTGCCTGAGAGAGCTTCCAGGACAGGAATGTAAGGACAGGCTGTGGAGAGCTGGGGCAGAAGTTGGTAGTCCCCTCCCACAGGATGCACTGGAAAAACCAGCGGGGATTGGCTTCACCTTGCCTGGCTTTTGCCGTTTTTAAAGAGGAAAACATCCAGGCAAATCCAATCTGCTGATGGCAGTCACAGAGTACCTGCTGTCTCACCCTGAGATGTGCCCGTCTTCTCCATCCTCGCTGGAATTACACAAGACAAAGGCAGATACAAACTAGATGAGACAAATTCTGCTGTAGGCAATTAATGAGCATACCCCAGAAGTTTTAAGGGAGACAGTTGATCTGACAGGTCAATCTGATGGTTAAAGCACCCACACAGACCTCCATACTTTGAGAGATATGAAGTCCAGCCTGATGCTGTTTTACCCCAAAAAGCCAGGCATCCTCAAATGGGCACATAAAATTAGCAGTGAGGTTTTGACATGGATTTCTCTTGTGTCTAAAGCAAAGCCAAGTCAGCTCTCCCCCCATAATGCTGTTGTAAACATAAACAAGGCTTTGACAGTACTTGAAAAAGTCAAGGCTGCAGTAATGAGCAATCTGGAAGAGCGCAGAGCAAATATGAGTGCAGTAGTTTTCAGAGCAGGGCTTGGGCAGTAAGTGGTAAATGAAGGATGGGGTCACTTGGTAAGGGGAAAAAGCCTCCACAGAATAGGTCTTGATTAAGCAAGAGCTATCCATCCATTGCACTAAGCAAGGATGGTCCTGTGGGCAAATCGTTTTGTCATTAAAAGACTGTCTTGTCATGTGTACGCACAAAATGGCCACATGAACCTTAATTCTGGAATTTCCTGATTTTACTTTATGACCTTGGTAGCTTCAGTCATGTTTCATTACTGTGGGAGTATGTAAGTCTTATTCATATATAAAAGCAGTTTTACTGTTTATTTCTTTCTAAAAAAACGGGTAGCCAGATCATTATTTTTTCCTGTCACAGAAGCTTTTCCTCACAATACATTTTAAAATTTGCTTTCAAGCTACTTCTTTCCTGCCTAGAAAATGCTTTTTTCTACCCCCTTTTTTCCCTCCCCCCTTCATCCTGCATTGCTGCTGCACGTTGTTTGCTACTGCCCAGTTCTTCAACAGCACTGAGCTGTGGTACCACTTTATTGGCAAAAGAAAAGAAGAAAGCATTTGTTTTGAAAAGAAAAGCTCAGGCAAAAACTCCCAAAAGCACAATCTTAGCAAACTATGTACAGCGTGCAAGATAAAAGGCATGTCTAATTAGAAAGGAGAATGCCCTGTTCATGGAAACTCTTTCCGTGTTTCTTGATTTGCAAGTCCATCTTTCTTATCTCTTCTTGTCCATAAGGACTTTCCCCCCAGCCCTTCCTGGGTGGCAATGAGCCATTCGAGGTGTCCCACACACCTGCAGTTGTATGGCAGAACAGGAGAGTGGTATCTGTGTGTGCAGATGTTCTCAGAGCTAGAAGGAACCTGTTTCCTAACCCTGATGACATGCCTGCCTCAATACATGTTTGGGAGAGTCATCCCACCTGTGAGTGGCTCAGCCTGGCTGAAAAATTGGATGAACAAGTGTCAGTATACACAATGCTGTGTGTGAATTCCTGGCTGTAAAAAGCCAGTGAGAGTTACTGAAACAGTGGCAAGG